TGGTTGGTTTACTCGTTTTAATTAAGTCCTTGCCTTTCAAAATAGGTACTCAAGTTCCACGAGCCTAACAGGCGGGACCCTCTCAGGGTCAAGTAGCTTTGGATTATCTGTGAGTGGACTTTGTTTTTTTAAATGATCATTATTTTCAAAGGATGGAATGTCATGCATATATATATATATAGCACCACCCTATGTACCTCCCCAGCACTTGGATACTTGGACATCGATACTTGGAAATGATGAATTCTTGAATATGTCGGAACCCGGGCACCTTTGACAGAGTGTTACTGTAGGCCCTTGTCGGGCAGTCTACGCACGTAGGACTTAGTTTAGCCGTACGAGTATTGAGGATTCTGTTATGTGTGTTTGGGATCCCAGTCCCTCGGTTGGACAGCTCGTCCCTAGCCACATGGTTATTGAGGATTCTTCCATGTGGTCTAGTCAAACAATCCCCTGGTTGGATTGTTTCCCTGGTACTTGTAGTGGTGTAACTGTTATACCTATATATATATATATATATATATAATGGTCATTCTTATTTATTTGTGAGGATCCTTCCTCGCTTGTTGTGCTTGCGGGCATGTGTCTTGGAAGAAAGTGGTCTGGGAAAGGAAAAAGGTCCAGTTTGAGTTTGTGTTATTTGCTATATCGGGATTATGGGATACCTTGATTTTAAAGCCGATTATATATATAAATGGTTTTCGTTGCATGTTTTGGCATCATTTTCCAAAACGGTGGGGTTAGTTTGTTGTTTACAATTATGTTAAAAGTTTATTTTTGTCCACTCAGAATTTTTTGTTTTTTGCGCCCCCCGGGCAATAGTTGACGCGTGTCGAGCAGTCAAGCCGAGCCTTCCTCTTCTCGTGCCTCGACTTAATTATAGGACACTTGTTGTCCATTTCCTTGAAACTTTTACTTTGGTTGTTTAACTAGAGATTCTTAGACTTGTCTGATATTGCTCGTGTAGGGTTGAATTTAAGGTCAAAGGCCTATTTTGTAATCTGTGTGCTATTGCATTGTGCGTGCTGGTAGTTGGACTATTATTTCTGTTGTTTTTCACAAGTGGAAAATTTGGTAAAGTTCATTTTTCAAGGGAGACTGCCGAAATTTCAGTAGGAGTCTCGGCCCCTTTTCCTTTGTTTCGAAGAAGATGATGTTTTTAGTAAGTGGGCCCGGCATCGGTTACTGTTGGTTTCGCAAATCTCGCAGCCTTAGGTTCCGGGCCGAGGGGATCTGCGTCAACACAGGTCGTCCACGTCAACACAAGCCATCCTTCTTCGGTTTACCGTGCGGGCGTGCCAGCACGGTTTACCGTGCGCTTGAGGGTGAATTGGTTGGGTGAATAGATAAGAAGTGCACCTGTTTAAATTTAACTTCTAATCGAGCGACTGTGGCCGAGAGAGGAACTGATCTCGGCCGTCAGGTTCACGGCCTGAGGTACAAGGCCGTTAATGGTGGTTTCTAGGTGGTGCTCCGGTGCCTCGCTGGGTGGCGACGGTCGTATGATATATGAGATGAACAAAAGGGTAACAAAGATGGTGCTCCGGTGCCTTGAAAATGAAGGGTCATATGATATATTGATGAATGGATTTTCCTACAAACTGCCACTACTCCTAGGAAAGCAAGTAAAAGTATTGAAAATGCATTACAAGAAGATAAATGACAAGAAGTAAATGACAGGAAAATATAATCTGCTCCATGGGAGGCTTGTGTTTGGTGTTGAACCCTTCAAATGTAGTTGGAGCCTAGTATTTATAGGGAAGATCTTGAGAAGATAATGAGGCTGAAAATCTGCATGGTGAGATTGATCAGAGCTAGTGGGTAGTCGAATCGACATTTGGGAATGTGAAGCATGGTGGTGTGACCCCCATAAACCCCGGCCGCCGCCCTGATGGTGGGCTCTGCGTCTCGGGCCTTGGAGGAGCATTTATTGCCCTGGTCTGATGGTTGGTGACTTGATCTCATAAGTCGTGAGATTTTCGCATCTAATCCCTGATTTTACTCGCCATACCTTCACTCCAATCACGTCCCTTCTGTCTTGGCTCATTAAATGCTTCTACGTGAATCATGGGCTTTCTGCTGTGGTCAGAGGCACTACTTCATTAAATGAAGTGTGGGACCTTGACGCCACGTGACGACGCCGCTTAACTTTCCCTATCTTGGCCTTGTATCTGCGGAGTTTGTCCTCGGCCAGTATCGCCGAGGCCGTGATGATTTTTTGCCTTTACCAGCTCACCTTCGTTTTTAAAAAAATGGAAGCAACCAAAGTCCTGTGAGGCTCAGCTGTGGGCAGGCGCTAGGGCTGAGCGGAAGTTCCCTCGATCAACTTCCTCGGCCGAGATTTACTAGGCACAAACAGTTAGATGTCAGAAAAATCACAGGGTCCGTCATGGATTTAGAGAAATTCAAGGCGGGTCTTGTCACCAACCACAAAACCCTTAAAACAACATCCCATTACCACGTAGGTATTGTCAAAGAAGTCCTCCTACGATCTAGAAAAAGCATCATAGTTCTTCGTATAGAGTCAAAAACGTACTATGGGTATCAAAATAAATCCAGCCAATCACCCAATCGCAAAACCATTGAAACACATCCCATCACTACGCAAGTACTGTAAAAGAAAGCCTCCTATGATCTAAAGAAAGCATCATAGTTCTTCGTACTGAGTCAAAAACGTATTGTGAGCATCATAACAGATCCATCCAAATACCAACCGCCATCTCCAATTTTCTTGATATAGAACCCCAGTTGACAAGCAAGGGAGATCAAGATTGGCCTCTTAGCTTGAAGAAATTTTCAAAGAAAGATCTTCATAGTAGGAAAGTTCATTGGTTGCCAAGCCCATGAACGTCCCATAGGAGAATTATTAGGGAGACCTTGGAGACCCCTCGAGGCTGGTCTCCTTCGCCTTGTCAACAAAATCCTTGATACAGAAACTACGCTTACCAGAAAAAGCCATGCCACTAACAATCAGATGCCCAACACCAGTTTTTGCATGCTTATGATTCCCGCTTAGTGCCGCATACTTGTCACCCCCTTGAGCAGAAGAGGCGGTGGCCACCTCCATAGCATTAAGATGAAGACCTCTCACCAGCGACTGGCTCTTTGGGAACCCAAAAAGGAAGCCGACACAGCCACCCAAAGGAGAACAAAAGAGGCAAAAAAACTTCGTACCCAATACACCAAGAAGAACCCAAAGAGACAATCATTGAAGACTGAGAGAGACGGCTCAGAGAATGAGTAAAGAAAACTAGAGAAACTCTAACCCTAACCGTCAAGGCTCTCCTCGCATGAACGAGAGAGCGACCTTGTATGTTTCTTGGAACTTTGATGGTAAGAAAATCAGGGATGACTGGAAGGATGGGAACCCTGCGTCTTAGAGTGCTAGCCCACAATATGAGGTGAGTAATTAATGCATAATTGTACTAATAGATGTAGCTTCAATCTTTTAATCTATTAAGTAGCTGTAATATTTTGGTTTTCAGCCAGGAAGTCCTAAATCACGAGCGTATGAAGCACCAACTCCTGGTGGAAATTATAGTGAAGCTAGCACACGTAGGGACAGTAGTTTTGGTTATGGTACAACTTTTAGTTTTCATTCATTTAAAAATTTGTGCGATGACCTCTATTTTTCATTCTTACAATCCCCTTGAGTTCCTCTCATTTTGTATCCTTGTTGCAGCAAATGCTCCTAAACCTTACTTGCCATCAACTCCACAGGTGGACAACCAATGACACCAAACTCGGCATTCTATCTTCTTGGAACTCTTGGGGAACAACCAATGACACCGGGATTCCCATTATAATTATATTTGATTTACTTTAATTCCTAATTTCCTACCATAAGTAGAAATAGAAATTTATTATTTACTTGGCCACTAAGGCTTAGTTGTACTATAAATATGACCTCCTACAAGGAAAGGAATATACAGAAAATTCCCACAAACAAATATTCTAATATTAGGTTTTATATTTTAGAATGGAATCAGAGCGGCGATCTTGGAATTGCTGACTCTAGTTTCCAACCCCTACCGTCTCTATGGGGGTTGATGATTTTTTTCAACCCTCATGGAGGTAGCACCACCGACTCATTCTCTCCCTCTCAACCAACCTTAGCCGAGTTGAGTGCCTAGGTGGCTCAGCTCATACAGATGCAGACTTCGACACCAAACCCAATCCTAAATCAGGATCCTATTTTGATGACCTTGAACCCAATCCTAAATCAAGATATTATTTTGACGACCTCGACCCCGACCACGATGACAACAACCCCGACCCCGACTCTAATGACGACCTCGACCCCAACCCCGAATTTGTCTATAATTCACACCCAGATCCCAACTTCGACTCCAACTCCGACCCGGACTCAAGCTCAGATCCTGATCTGGATTCCTACTAAACATGTATCCTATACATCTTCCGCTGTACAGATTATGACTTCCTGACTAACGACCCTGACACATGGACGAGATTACGCATACTGTGGTGATCCGAGACACTCATGAGACACTACTACAATTTAGTTAAACAACGACTCAAAATAGACGACGGTGCACTTTAAAACCGTCGTCGTGTTTTAAAAGATGACGGTTTTACAAAACCGTCATGCTATACCATCTTATACACCATTAAAATAGGGTTGCGGTGGGTTGGTTTTTAAAACACGACGCTTGTCAATTAACAAGCGTTGTCTTTTAAAACACGCTAAACAAAAGAAGCCGCTTAAGTGAATTCTTCCTCGACCTAAAATTCAGATTTCCCCAGGTCTATGAAAACTCTCTTCCTCCTTGAAACCCTCCTGAGCTCTTTTCTCTCCCTTCTTGAAAGCCTCCTGAGCTCTTTGAAACAGTCCCTCTCTCACTTCTTTGCTACTCATACATATCTACCAGCCACGCCATGGATGCAGCGACACCATCGATGCCAGCGACGCCTCGAGGCCATTGACGCCATTGACGCCGTGATGCCATCGAAGCCACCAAAGCCGCAACGCCATCGACACCATGACGCCACCGATGCCATTCTTTCTCATCCACGCCACCGACGCCATCGTCTTCTTCGCATCAGTCACCACCAGCCGCCAGCGACGCCAACTACTTATTTGGTCTCTTTCTTCTCTTGTGCCTTGCTTCTGTGCTCTGAAGAATTTTTCAGCCTTAGAGATATGTCTGCTCAGATGCACCAGATCTATAGAAATTTGCTTCAAATTTTATCTGGGTATTGCATATGCTAATTTGTTTCTTCATTTTCTTGTTCTTTTTCCACTCTCTGCTTGTGCCTGTGTATTATGTTTATGAAACTGAAGGCTGTTTTGACTCCCCTGCTTCCAAGCCAAGGTCTGCTACTCGGTATGTTGCGTCAATTAGCTTTTTACATGAATGTTTATGATGGCATCTGATTCTTCAATTAACCTTTTTCCTCATATTACTTTGTTATATGCCTTATCGCTGTTTGAGTTAATTTTTTCTTTGGTCATTAGTTTTCTGGTTATGGGTAAATGCTTAATTTGATATTTTACTGTGATGAATGGTCTGCTTTGTTGTTCTAGGAGAGCCACTAGTCCGATGAGACGGTCAGCGAAATGCTGGACAGAGGAAGAGGTCAGTAGTGGAAATTCCTTAGTTTGGTAGTTTTGTTAATGCCAGTTTAGCATGTAAATTTTTGATACATTGTTAATGAAGAAGGAAATACTGAAGTTTTTATATTTATGCAGCGCTGGCAAAATGTTCTAAATCCTGAAATTGTGAAGGGACCCTGGACAAAGGAGGTGCAAGCAAAATACTCTTGCATGCTTTTATAACTATGGGGAAATCATGCTTTTACTATATATATGCTAAACTGATATGTGATCATGGTTTATTTGTGCCTTTATCTGGATTTCAGGAAGTTGAGAGACATGGTGCTAAAAGATGGTATGTTATTGCAAAGTTCTTACCAGGTCGAATGGGCAAGCAATGCCGAGAAAGGTAGGCAACAACGATTTCTAGTCAGTGCATCAAACTTTTGGCATCAAATACCTTGAATCAACATATGTTCTGCAAATCTATGGTTCACATCCTTTGTGTTTTGTTATAGTTAGCTATGCAGATATTATAGAATAGACAAATTAAGTTAGTAAGGTGGTACAATCACTTATGCCCGGCTATAAATAGAAATGCATGGACAGAAGAAGAGGAGTCGGTTCTTACTTACTACCACCAACTCTTTGGTAACAAATGGGCAGAAATAGCAATGTTTCTAACTGGAAGGTATGCAATAACTGAGCTGATGGTTGAACATATATGTACATAGTTTTTTGCCTGTGAATGTATGTGGTGCAAATGAGGTAAAAATCTGGATTGTTTATCTCTTGGATAGGGATTAATATATGATATTAATTGGTCAAAATTTAGATCGTAGACATGCATTATTTGTTTACTATTTGCACTCACTCCTCTAATTTTTATTGAAATTGGCAGGACTGACAATGCAATGAAAAATCACTGGAACTACACACTAAAGAGAAAATCAGATTCATACTAACATGTGGATATGCATCTTGATGTCTGGAATGGTGAATTAAGGTCGGGCCTTGGCAGAAAGACCTTGTGCAAAAACCTTTGAGCCTCAAAAGCAGAGACTCACCTAAGAGCTCCAAGAATGAAGGCTGGCAAACCAATGAACTTTGGGTATTCATCCACTTTACGTGTAACTAGTTGAAGTTGATTATGTAGAATTCCTCATTTTTTATATATATATAAAGTATGTTTGTTGTAGAATAAAGATTGGTTAACTATGTAATTAACTATTGAATCTTCAAGTTTTATGAAAGAAATCATTTTTGAGTGTATATATTTAAGGGAAATAGCAGTATATGCCACCGATTTTATAATCTTAACTAAAAATACCACCCCCCCCCCAAATTTTTTTACAACTAACACCTATAAATATAAAATTATTGTACACTTATTGCTCACCTAACACTTATTCTGAAAATCACCTCTCGCGAATCAGCTCTCTCTTTGGCTCCGTCTCTCACAGTCTCCACTCTCTAGTCACTCAGTTCTCACTCTGTCGTCGCTCGTGGCTGAGCTCTCACGCTCTCAATCTCTGGTCGCTCAGGTCTCAATCTCTCTTCTCTCTTCCTCTCCCAGCGGAATCCGTTAATTGAAGATCAATGCCATCGATTACATGAACCAGGTACTGTTCATCGACATTTTCTTACGGCTTAGGGTTTATGGGTTTGTATGAAAATCGTTTATGGGTTTGTTTGAAATTGGTTTAGGGTTTAGGGTTTAGGGCTTTCTCTGAAATTGGTTTAGTGAGTTCTCTGAAATGGGTATAGGGTTTAGGGGTTTTTCATAAATTGGTTTAGGGGTTTCACTGAAATTGGTTTAGGTCTGAAATGCTGTGATTCCGATGATTCATTGTTTGAAACAGTGAATGAGTTTGTTGTTTGTGGAATGATGCTTGCACTGGTGTTGTTTTGCTGTTGGTATTGATGTTGTGTTGCTCTTTTGTTGCCGGGTTATTGCTGATGTAGTGACGTTGTATATTCATTTTAGTGTTGTTGTATTGCTAGTTTGTTATGGTTGTAATGGTTTATTATGGTTTTATTCATGTTCCACAACAACAAATGTAGTTCAATGACACACCTTTATGACTTGTTTTAAATGTACGTCTTTGAAAGTAATTTGGGCTATACATTGTACGGCAGTGAAACAAACACGTCATTGATAAGTTTAGGGCTTGCATATTGGATATGGATAAGTTATCTTTGTTTTTCATATTCTGTTGTGATTATTTGGAATTTCAGTTTGGGGATGAATATTGAATGTGTAAACAAAGGGCAAAGAACCATATGCGGGGATGTATATTAGTTTTGGGTGCACAATGGGCTAGTTTAGAAGTTACAGTACCTGCAGATGTGTTGCTTGTGCTATCTTTTAAATGGATTTGAAGAGCCTATACTGAAATAGCTTCTCCTTCCCATTTCCCTTCTCATTCGAGAAGCATTTTCGTGTTAGGCCTTTGGTTTATCAGTCACTTATTTGTTCAAACAATATTGGATGTAACTAGTGTTTAGTATCTAATTGTAGAAACTAATTTGCAGGTTTCTAGTGAGCAGAAGTCACCATAACTTTATCTTTTGGAGAATATTGTAAAGAATAGCGGACGGGACTACATAAAATATTTTGTTGTCAGACTCCCTGAGGTTAGATTTCTGTTTTTTGTGATGCCTCTCATTTCTCAGCATGCTTTTTGTGGTTACGTAACGCAGCTTCTTGATTTATTGACATGTAACAATGTCTGAATCAACCTGGAATACACAACATATTTAGTTTGAGGTTTAAATAATGGCAATTGGGATTAAATTATCTTTGATATCCACACTGTTCACTGCTTACGAATTACATTGTTTCTTTCAAATTAAATGATGTTTTTCGCACAATGTGTCATTATTACCCCCTTGTGTCAAATCCGACGATAGGCTTCACTTCACTTCACTCCGTAGTTACTTTGTAGTCAAAAGTTTTTCCCATTTTTTGCACTTGTAGGTGTATGAAATGGGAAAAACTTTTGTAGGAAGCCTTTTGAAGATAAAATATAAGAGAAGGACGTGGGAAAATATAAGAGCACGGCTTGTGGACAGAAAATGTAACATAAGGAAATTGGAAAATATAAGAGAAGGAAATGGGAAAATATAAGAGCAAGACTTGTGGAGAGAAAAGATAAGGGTTGAAGGTACAATGAATTTGTATTTTTTATGTCATGGGCCATTGGTGAACAAACATAAAATGCATATAAAGTTCTATTGGGGCTGTATTGTAGGTTTATCACTGATATATCTTGTGCATATTGCCATGAGATGCATCTGTATTGTGTGTTTATTGCTTGTAATTGTGTATATTTAAAAGGCTTGAAATTATTTGTATAATGGTGGTGTGTAGGGAAATATGGTCTCGAAAGCAAAGTTGATGATTGCTGCGGATGAAAAAATCCAGGGAAAGGCGTTGACCCTAAAGTTGATGATTGTTGCGGATGAAAAAATCCAGGGAAAGGCGTTGACCCATTCCCATACAAAAACAGCGATCTGTACAATTAAGGACAAATTTAGTGGGCAACGGTTACAAAGGTTCAAGGACAGTTGTTTTGGCCATTTGTTAGTAATTGAGGACCTGAAGTGGACAACACAAATTATCCATGGCTTGTTGTTGAGAAAGGCAGACCCGAGGACAGTTTCTCAAGTCAACGGGATCAAATTCATCGTTGGCAACAAGGTCATACAGTTCACAGCGCAGCAGTTTTGCGTCATCACAGGGCTGCAGTTTGGAAAGCTTCCCTTCATTCCGACTGCAACTAATGACAACTGCTCATTGAAGAAGAAGTATTTCTGCAACAATAAAACGGTCAGCCTTTCCGAACTCGAACAAGCCTTCATCGACTGCAGTGATGAGGAGGACGTCTTCAAGTTTGGGCTATTATATTTCGCTGTTTTTGTGCTGTTGGGCAATGAAAAGCATGTCAACATTGACATGCGCTACTTGAAATTGGCCGAAGATGTTGAAGACTTCCAGAAGTATCCGTGGGGTGCTGTGCGCAGAGTACCAGCGAGTCAAAGTGCCCCAGAAAGCCTTAAAAACCCAAAAATCAGCAAAGCAATCCAAGACAATGGCAAGTGGTAGACCAAGGGAGTACCACATAAAAGGATTTGGCTTTGCACTTCAGGTGAGGAAATATCCGTTTATGTATAAGTTCCATTTACTTTGTTTACAGTGATTGATATATTTTTCTTGAAAACAGATATGGGCTTTTGAGGTGTTTCCAGCATTCGCTGCATTGCATATCGTTGTGCGCGAAAAAAATGCCCAAGTCCCTCGTATACTACAATGGAGAATCAATAGTTTGCCTCGTTTTCACGAAGTAATGAGCCAAGTCTTTGAAAATGCAGAGGTTAGTTCTGTTTATAATACTAATGTTATGCTTCTGATTCAAATTATAGGTTTAATAATATGTTTTTTGTCTCTCTAAATTGCAGGTTGATGTGCAACCTCTCCGCCCATCTGTAATTGAGAAGCAGCAGCCGTATTGGAGTTGGGGTGACGATGTTGACGACACTGAAGAAGTTGTTGAGTTGTTTGGCGATGACGAAGAACCAAAAACCAGCACTTCTGCCTCTGTGCAAGAAAAAGATGAGGACATTGCTAAAATTGCTAGCCTTCCATCGTCTTCTAAGGCAAGCATTACCTTTTTTCCAATATATACGTCATAATACCATAGGAAAAAAACTGCTGTTGATGGGAAATATTTTCGAAATATTGTAACATTTGCATTAT